CCATTTTCCCGACAACTCACGAGAAAAATAAGACACCACTCCCACAGATACACACACACCATCAGCAGCACACACTATTATCACATTCACACTTTCACACACTGGCCAAGGGAAACCCTTACACCATCCTGTATGTGTCCATTACAGAGGAACAGCTGTAGACACACACAATCGTCCTGTTACAGAAAACACACACTCACTTGCATTCTCACTGACACACACATCTTTTACACAGGCAAATCCAGTTGCAAACAGACCCACACCCTCCCCCCCTTATCGACAGGCCTCTTGTTTGCAGGTGTGAACCGACAGCCTAACACAACATAATGGACACTCAGTACATATCTGGGTAAAAACATAAGCTGGGTAAATTTTTAAAATTATTCCTCAAAAACAAGCACAGCTACCTTCATGTCATGCACACTTCCACATCCAGCTTTCTCCTCATGGACACACAGTCCCACAAACACAAAGTAATTAAGTTATCATACACACCCCTAAGCTAAAGGACAACCCCTGGCTCAGGGGTCTCTCCCAGAGGGGGAAGGAAGCAATGTGGGATCCAAAGGGGCCTTCCCCTGTGGCTGAGCCCTCCTTTTTCTCCTCCCCAGGCCCCAGCCTCAGCCCCAGCTGCTCCTCTTTTAATTGGAAGCACTTCTTTATTCTGCAGGCGGATGGGGGGGGGTTAGGGGGCTGCTGCTGGAAGGGAGGGTGTTACCAGGTGGCCTCAGGGCTGGACCTCACCTAGATGTGTGCAAAGATACTCCTGCGAGGCAAAGACCACATCTGCCAAGTTTGGTGTTGAGGAAGCAGCTTGTAATGAGTCAGAAAAGCAGCATTTGAGTCCAGTTCTGTCCCTTTCCAGCTTTCAGTCCTTGGTTTGTTTTTGTTTGTTTTTTTGTTTGTTTGTTTGTTTTCATCTGTAAAATGGAGACAACAAAAGCCACATCACAGGAGGATGGGATGAGAAGGTACCTAGGACATCACCGGTGCTTTGTGAGTTGCGCCTCCTTTCCCTCCCCTCCTCTTTCCTAACAAGGCTACTCTGCAAGGCAGGGAACACAAGCTGCACTGAATATAAGTTCTGAGTCTCCTCCTCCATTTCAGAAAAATTTTTTTCATTATTTTTATTTTATTGTTATCCTTATCTGAGGACATTCTTTTTTGTTTTCTTTTTTCTTTTTTTGCATTTATTTTCAGATAGAGCGTAAGGGAGGGAGGGAGGGAGGAAGAGAGAGAGAAACATCAATGTGAGAGAGACACATCCACTGGCTGCCACCCACATGACCCCAACCGGTTCCTGGGACAAACTGCAACCAAGGTATGTGCCCTTAGCAAGAACCAAACCCAGGACTCTCTGGTTCATGGGCCAACACTCTAACCACTGAGAAAACCGGCCAGGGCAGAAAACTTTCTAAGCTGTAACACTGTGCTCAGGAACCACTGCTTCAGGGAGTGGCAGGGGCCAGAACCCAACAAATCCGGACACTCTTGTCTCACCTTCCTGGCAGAGGAGGGACTGAGAGGGTAACCCTGCCCTCAGCCACTATCCCCTTGGAAGACAAAGGCCAGGGTCAAGGTGGACTCAACTTCTGCTGGAGGGGGCGGGGCAGCAGCTCAGAACTGGATTGGGATAAAAGTTGACTGATAAGCAGGAGAGGCAGGCAGCAGAGCGAGGGCAGAGGAAAGGCAGGGTGTCCCTGGGTTGCTGAATTTGGTGAGGAGAGCATCCTGACAGTCTTAGTGGGTCCTGAGGCAACTGTGACTTCTGCCAAAATTTGACTAGGCCAGCAAGGATGAGGTCTCCTCCCAGGTACCCTGGACCACTGGTGACAGAAGTGAGGAGTTTAAAGGTAAGTAAGGCAGATGCCCAAAGGGTTGGAAAAGGCAGAGTTGGAAAGTCATAGCAGCTGGAAAGGTGCATTAGGAAGAGGAGAGGGAGGAAGGGGGAGAGTGTTGTGAACATTCAAGGGGTTTCCAGCAAGGGCAAGAGAGTGGCAAAGAGAAATTGTTTTGAGGATAACCTAGAAAGATAGGATTTTATTTTATTTTTATTTAATCAATTTATTTTTGTTACAGATGTTTCTTATTTTTCTCCCACTGATTCTCCCCTCCTCTCCCTCTTCACCCTGTCCCCAGAAAGATAGGATTTTAATTGCAGCAGGCAGAACTGTGGTTAGACACAAATGTGACTTCGTGACTAAAGGAGAAAGGCAGAGCAAGGCAACAGGGACCCAACCTCAAATGATGCTGAAGGGTCTCTCCCCTCAATTTTCACCCTCTACAGGAAAAATAGCTCGGGTCTGGGATCCCAGCTCAATCCTCTACTGTCTGTGGACCATTGGGCAACTTCATTCATCTCACTGAGTCTGAGTTTTTGTTTTTTCTTTCTAAAAATGACATATAATTCATGTAACATAATTTCAGCCCTTTAAATCATTCAACTCAGTGGTTTTTAGTATATTCACAAAGTTGTGCAACCATCACCACTATCTAACTTCAGAATATTTTTATCACTGCAAATAGTAACTTTCTATCCATTTGTAGTCCATTCCCAATCCCCCCCACCCCCGGCAAGGTCCTGGAAACCAATGATCTACTTTCTGTCTTTGTAGATTTGCCTATTCTGAATGGTTCATATCAATGAAATTATATATGTGACCTTTTGTGCCTGGCTTCTTTCACATAGCATAATTTTGTCTAGGTTCTTCCATGTTGTAGCTTGAACCAAGACATCCATTTTATTGCTTTTTATGACTGAATAATATTCAATTGAATGGAGATACCATATTTTATTTATCCAGTCATCAAAATTCATCAAAAAATTGCTTCTACTTTTTGGCCATTATGAATAATACTACTATTAAGATTCCCTTTTTCTTAATCATTTAAAAATGGGGATGCTTCTATTAATTTCACAGGGTTGTTGTGAGTCATAAATGAGATCAGTGTGGTGTAGTGCATGGCACATAGCAGTTTCTCAGTAAAACGCTTGTGTCTCTCTCTTCTTCAGTTCTTTCAACATAAGAGGCAGGAAAGAGACACATTCAGGTTCAAACAACTTCCAAAGAAAGGTATGGAACCTCCTAGTAGAGGTGTAGTACCTGAATTGGAAGGGTGGAGAGGAGAGAGCTGGCAAGAGAGTGGGGCTCTCTCTTCATGTCTCTGTTTAGTGTTGAAAACAACCAGATCTGACTTTATACTGAGTGAGCCTCTGTCCACTTGACTGGAGCCTAGACAAAGTTTTCCTTATAGAGATGCCCTTCTGACCAGAAGCCAATTTCCAGGGTAACCCATAAAAGCAAGTAGAACCCAGCTCTTCCATCTTGATCAAGTCTCTTAGCCTCTCTGAGATTTGGTTTCTTTGCATCTGTAAAATAGGGATAATACTCATCTCAAAGAGTTAGTGTAGAGTGTAGAGTATTCTCCATTACACTTACTGTCACCTGGTTTATTGTATTTGCTTCTTTACATCCCTCCTCTGGAATGTAAGCTCCACAAGGGCAGGAACTTTGTTTTGCTCATTGCTCTTCTCTCAATGCCAAGAACCATGCCTAACACATAGTAGGGACTCAAAAAATTTTGTTGAATAAGGAGGTTCATTCGTTCATTATTCACTCAAAATGATTACATTTTGTGGGTTGGGGCTATACTCCATAGGGGGGAACAGAGATAAGTAAGCCATTCCTTGCCTCCAAGGAGATTTCTTCAAGTGGAAGTAATAGACGTGGCCAAAGCAAATACTACATTGCATTGAGACTTGATAAGTAGAATGTGCACCTTCATATTCTAGCATCTTGCCTGAGAGAGAGACAGTCCCTCTCTGAAGGCCTGCTGAATTCGGAGTAGACCAGAAATAGATCCCAAGTGATCCAACCTTCTTCTGTCCCTAATCTTGGCTTCTGGAAGGCATCAAACATTTCCTTACTGGAGAGGGGAAAGAAGAGAAGCAGAAAAGGGAGTTTCCTCCATCTCTCCTGGGCTCTAAGCCAGTCTGCCACAGGCAAAACTTTGAAAAGGCCTAAATTTGTCCTGGATACACTTCCCTCATCTTGGTCCCACCATCCCCACACCCTCACAGCCTTAAGACCCTAGGCCTCCCTCCCAAGACTCCAAAAGTAGGAAAATAACTCCTTCCCCTTACCACAGTCCAAAGGTTTCTTGCTTGAAATAGCCACCCCTGGCCTAGTTGCTAGGTGAAACAATCTGATTGAATTTATTAACATATTATGGGAACTGGTTCTTGAAACATTTGTTTATTTTAAAGGAAAGAGGTATCTTGAAGCATCAGAACCCTGGCAACAGGCCCCAAGCTAACTCCCTTGTCTGTGCCTGCCTTTCAGGAAGTCTTCCCTTCCTCAATTTCTCCAAACAGGCTAAGTTGGATGGTTATTTTTTCAACATATAGCCAGTAATTTACAGACCTGTGTTTTAAAGAAAGACAAGCCTAAACTCACTTTCCCTGACTCAGGGGCCTGGCTCCATACCTGGAGAGTAGACAGTCTTCTACTTTCTAATAAGCTGGGCTTGAAGTTTGGTTTAAATACCCTGGTTGATGGACAAGTGTTTCCCAGCTGAGCCCTTGGGAAGATTCTCCAATAGCGCAAGGACAGTTCTTCCCCAGAGGCCAGTGGGCTGGACCCCTTTGACCCAATTCAAAGTTAGAGGGTGGCTCCTGCATGGCTGGGAAGAGGGCTCTGACCTCCACCTCCTGGGCTCCGTCTGTCGGTCGGTCCCTGGGAATGGCCGCCTCTTGTTCTTTTTCTTTCTCCTTTTAAGTCTCTGTTTCCCCTCTTCCTGAACTACTTCTCTGAGCCTCAGTCTCCGTCCTTCTGTCTCTGGCTCCGGCATCTGTCTCGGCTCCCGGCCTCCTACTCCTCGTCTCCGCCCCTCCCCCGCGCTGTCATTCACCCCGCTCCTCTCTGCGTACAGCCAATGGAGAGATCCGGTCGGAACGGCAAAGCTCGCTCGCACCGGGCTTTTTCGTCTGGTGATTGATGTCCCAGAGTCAACAGCGAGCAAGCAGCCGGAGAGGGGAAGGAGCAGCGGGAGAGGAGTAGAATACTGCGCCCCCTCTCCTTCCCCTCCCCCCTACTTTAGCCCTTCTGTGTACTTCGCCTCCAAGTCTCCGCGCAGCCAGGAGCCGCTCCTGCCTTCGCGCCCCTGCGCGCTGCACCCAGGGAGAAAAACAGCGAGCCCCGCCGCCCAGGCCCCCCCGCGGGGCCGGGGCCGGGGCCAGCATGGAGCACCTGGGTCCGCACCATCTCCATCCGGGCCACGCGGAGCCCATCAGCTTCGGCATCGACCAGATCCTCAACAGCCCAGACCAGGGCGGCTGCATGGGGCCAAACTCACGCCTCCAGGACGGAGAATATGGTCTTGGCTGTTTGGTCGGAGGCGCCTACGCTTACGGCGGCGGGGGACCGGTGGCCGGTGCGGGAGCCGGGAACGCGGGAGCTTATGGCGCTGGCGGCCCGAGCGGTCCTGGTGGCCCGGCGGGCGGCGGGGGCGGTGCCTGCAGCTTGGGCCCGCTGGCCGGCTCCTACAACGTGAACATGGCCTTAGCGGGCGGCCCGGGTCCAGGAGGTGGCGGTGGAAGCGGAGGGGCTCTGAGCGCTGCGGGGGTAATTCGGGTGCCCGCGCACAGGCCACTAGCCGGAGCGGTGGCCCACCCCCAGCCTCTGGCTACCGGCTTGCCAACAGTGCCCTCCGTGCCTGCCGTGCCGGGCGTCAACAACCTCACCGGCCTCACCTTCCCCTGGATGGAGAGTAACCGCAGATACACAAAGGACAGGTTCACAGGTGAGTCCGGCCCGCACACGCCCCGCCTGGCCGCGGCCCGGGCTCTGCGCTCCCCAGCCTCCCTCTTGGCTCCTCGCAGCCCCCTTTGCTTGCCTGATCTCCCAACTCCTCTTGGTACTTCCCCCAAGTTCAGCCGCCTGCCACCTTTCTATGCTCCAGGAATCGCCATGCTGGAAGAGTTCTCCCAGCCTGGGTCCCTCTGCGTCTCTCCCGCAGGACCCCTGCTCTAAGAAGTGCTCTCTGAACCCCTCTCGGAGTCCTTGGGCCCGGCCAGGCGGAGAGAAGGGGAATGTAGCTTTGGAATTACATTCAGCCCGCATTTGGGGTTCTGGGATCTCAGAGAAGGGGCGCAATGTGAACAAACTGTTTCTTCCGACCCGGCTGATGTTCTCTGGCCCAGGCGGGGAGCCCCAGAATCAGACACAAGAAAAGAACAGGTTCTCCACCTCTGCCCCCCACCACACACACACACACACACACACACACACACACTCCAAGATCCAGTGTTTGTTGCGCTGCGGGCCAGCAGAGGCCAGGAGCCCGAGTAAAGCAGCAGAGCTGGTGGGCCCTCCTTCTCGAACTGTGGGCTTCCTCCGTGTTGGTGGCAGCGTGAGGCTGAGCCGCCCGCTTCATTTTCGTTCTGCCCGGGCTCGGCGTCCTCCCCCCACTTCCTACCCCTGGCCCTCCGCCGTAAATAATGCACTGGCCAGGCCCACGATCGATTGGCCACCAAAGGACTACTCCTGGGACGATTACATATTCAGCGGCGCCGGCTGCCGCCCTCTCCGCTGCCTGCTCGGTGCCTTCCTCCGCTAGTCCCGGCTCCCTGCGCTCCCGCTTCCGTTCTCGGCACTCAGCCCTCGCTCCTGCGCGGGCCCTTTTCCCCAGCTTCACTTCCCGCTTCCCTTGGCCTCCCCTGGATTTGAGAGTGTTATCCTCCCGCCGAGCCAGACCCTCATCCCCCGCCGGGAAGAAGCTACGAATTGAGCCTGGGTTCCGGACCAGGCCTTGGGGAGAGGAGGCACAGGCCGGGACTCCAATGGGGCTCAGGCTCCAGGGCCCAACTGTGAAAGGGGGACAGGCAGCATAGAACTAGACCTGGGCTGGGAGACTCCAAGGCACCACAGCCACCCCCTGCTCCTGTTCCAACCTTAGAACCTTGGCTCAGACTCTCGGTGAGTCTGTGGCAAAAGTTTAGGGGTGGAGGATTTGCAGAGGCAGAACAGCCATTCCACTTTGGGCCTCCAGGAAGGACCCTGTACTCAAGGGGACCTACTGCCCCAACCCAAATTCTATCAAGCCTGGGGAGTCAGGGCCTGGTGCCCATCCTTCTCCTCCCAACTCAGGCCAGTCTTGAAGGATTCTGATAGAACCCCCAGCCTGGAACCCGCCGGTCCTGGCTCTGGTGAAAGGTACTCCACATAGGGCCTACCTAGGGGAGCCACAGCCCATCTAATCTTCCTTCAGGCCTAAAGAAGGTTCTGAGGGAGTACAGGGCTGTTGCCTGTGTCACCTTGTGTTGCCCTGTGTCCTGTGTGCGTCTGCCTGTGTGCCTGTGCCTATCTGTTAGCCAGCTTGTTTGGATGTATAGATCAATAATTTGCCACTGTTGTATGTAATGTGCCTATGTATATTGCTTTGTGATGGAGGCTCAGGTCAGGACCCAGGGTCCAGGGTCTTAATCAAGCATGGCCTCTTACTGTTGGGCAGCTTCTCTGAGGTTGGAGGACTGGGGTTGTGGGGGGCTGCGATCTTTAGCTCGCCCCCAGGGAGATTGGGGAGGTGACTGTGGCAGTGACTGGTTGGGCACGTGGGAGCACGGGGCTAGGGAGAACTTCCTTCGTGGTGGCAGTGGCGGTGGCTGAGGCTTGGCGGTGGGAGGGAGCCCTTTCCTGCTCGGCATGGAGCTGAGGGCTGACTAGAAGATCAAGGCCCTGATCGTGGGGTCTAGCCGCTATGCTCGCTGATTCGCGGGGTGTCGAGCCTGGGACGCCTCCTGACGCTCTGCCGCTTGCCTCTGCCGTCTGTCTGTCTCCCGCTCCAGTGGCCCTCTCACCCTTCACTGTAACACGCCGTATAGGTCACCCCTATCAGAACCGGACGCCCCCCAAGAAGAAGAAGCCACGCACGTCCTTCACACGCCTGCAGATCTGCGAGCTGGAGAAGCGCTTCCACCGCCAGAAGTACCTGGCCTCGGCCGAGCGCGCCGCCCTGGCCAAGGCGCTCAAAATGACTGACGCGCAGGTCAAAACCTGGTTCCAGAACCGGCGGACAAAGTGGAGGTGAGCGCGCGGGGCGGGTGAAGCGCGGGAGGCGCAGTTTCCGCAGCTCAAGGCTCCGGACCTCTCCGGGCGGGCGCTCACACTGTCTCCACTCCCGGTTTCCCATCTGTTCTGAGGAGCGGGCAGCTCCTGCTAGGCTCTCCGGGAGTGGGAGACAAGCGAGGCCAAAGACCGAGAAGGCGTTGTTGAGCCCCAGCTCTGTTTTACTGGAGGCTTCCTGGCTTTCTGGCCCGCACACTCCGTCTATGCAGTCCGCGTTATCTGGATCAGAGTCCTGTGGGGCTTTTTATTTGCGCAAACTAGTACGTACAAAGATACCTCCTCTATCCGGGAGACTGGGGACAGGATGGCCCTCGTCCTGTTTCTGCTCCCCAGCCCGGGTCCCTGCAGACCGTCTGGGGCCCCAGACCTCAGCCTGGGCTGTGCTGACTCCCTCCTCAGGCAACCCCCGCCTTTCCGCAGCAGGTTCTCCACACTGGAAGGGGAAAATCAATCCGCGCCGGCTGCGGTGGGGTTTTCTAGGGTCCCACAGAACCCGGGATCAATTAGGAGCAGATGGGTGAGAGAGAGAGAGAGAGAGAGAGAGAGAGAGAGAGAGAGAGACTGAGAGGCAGAGACATTTCCCCTTCTCATGCCACACACCCACAACTACGCTAATTTTTTTCCTGTATACATATATATACCTCCACCTCTGTTCTCTCTTTCTCTCTCTCTCCCTCTTTCCTTCTCCCTCTCCCTCTCTTTCCTCCCCTCCCTCCCTTTCTTTCTTGTGTACACAAGGTGTCCCACTGACTCCTAGGCAGCCTTCTTCTCCGCACACAGCAGCACTTTCTCCTCTGGGCCCTCTTGCACCCCAGCACCCTCGCTCACATCTAGCTCGCATACTCGGTTCCATGTCTGCCAGGAGTTTCTCGATAGCTCAGGCCTTAGGGGGAGAGTAAGAGTCTGGGCAAAGGCAGCGGCGCCTGGCCGGGCGGGCCTGGGGCCGGAGGAAGGAATTGGAGTTTCCTCTTTTTCTGAATGAAGGCGAGGAATCTGCCCGGGATTCCGCCCATCGTGGCCACAAAGGAAGCCACTGCCCCTCGAGTCTGCTGCCCTCCCCTCCCCACATTCCTGCCGCCGGGGAAGGGGTGGGGGGCCAGCTTCAGACCTCTGGAAGGAAAGCTAGTTAAAGAGGGAGCAAGGGCTAGCTGGGTAGGGGGGACACTGGTGTTCTCAAGGCCCACTCAGGGCTGGAGCCTAAGGGACGGAGCCAGATAAGCACCCCCCCCCCAAGTGGGGGGACAAAGAAGGAGTGGCAGGCAAAGAGAGAAACTGAAACATAAAGGGGGAGGGCAAAGATAGATACCCTACCCCGGTGAGAAAAAGAAACCAGGCAGCCTAACGAAATCTTACATATAAAAAAAAGAAAGCAATGGATGAGAAAAACCTCCATTTTCGTTTCAAACAAATTCCCTTAATTTTGAGAAACCAAAGGGTGGGAGTGGGGAGGAGGGGGTGAAAGAAAACAAGAGATAAAGACACAAAGCCTAAAGGAAGAGAAACAGTCAAATAGTTTAAAGTGCAGGAACGAAGGGGAAGAAGAGAGTCAGAGCCAGAGCGAAAAGCAAGAAGGGGCGACGGGAAGGAGGCAGGCGTCCGTCGCTGGGAGAGGCCCTCGCTGGCTTCGTTCGGCTTCATCGATCGCCTACAAATTGCTTCTGGAGGCCCCGGGGACTCCCATTAGGTCTGTCCACCTTAGAGACAGACGTTTGATCTCAGTTGACGGGGTGGAGGGGAGGCATTAAATGGAATAAGTGAGTCATCGCCTCCCTGGACCGCTTCTGAGGAAGCCGGCTGGTCCGGCAGTAGTCCTGGCAGGGCGCAGGGCTCGGTGCAGGAGGTCGAAGGCCTGGGAGATATTCGAAGAGAAAAGGGGGAGAAGAGAGGTCGGGCAGGGCAGCTGTATCCACCGGCCCTTGCCTCTGCCCTGGACTGGTGGGGAAGGTGAAGCCCCTCAGGATTGGAACGGAAGTGTCTGACCTTCCTCGGGGTTGGGGACAGGCGATATGCCATCTTACCCTTGTCTGCGCCCTTCTGGGCCAGTGTGTGTGTGTGTGCCGCGCTCAGACAAGGAGCCCCAGCTTCGTCCCTAGCGAATTTCGCACAGCTTCCTTGATATAGCTCCGTTCCATCTACTTTTGGGGTTACCGATCTTCGTCGGAGTCAGGACCTTCAACATAAGGGAATGCGTTATGAGGGGCCCACGCTGGAGCAGTGCTCTCGCAGGTTATCTGCGGGGATCGCATGGAAGCGTAGGTAACAGCTTGTCCCCGGTTTAGGCGGCAGACCGCGGAGGAGCGTGAGGCCGAGAGGCAGCAGGCGAATCGCATCCTCCTGCAGCTGCAGCAAGAGGCCTTCCAGAAGAGCCTGGCGCAGCCGCTGCCCGCCGACCCGCTCTGCGTTCACAACTCCTCGCTCTTCGCCCTGCAGAACCTGCAGCCGTGGTCTGATGACTCGACCAAGATCACCAGCGTCACGTCGGTGGCATCGGCCTGCGAGTGAGCCTGCCCACTCCACCCGGGGAGACCCCGGCCCAGCCACGGGGTGGCCGCTGAGGCCAGAGAGCCAGCACTCTGTCCCACCCTATGGCCTGAGACAGCACTCGGGAGGGGGACGCTGCGCCCCTCCACAGCGGCCTGCACGCTCTGCTCGCTCGTTGAAACTGTTCTCTCTTCCATGGAAAAGAAGAGTGCGTAGGACATAGACCTCCTCCCAGACTCCCATGCGGTCCTGCGCCTGCTAAAACTGTTCAGAGTCGTCTCAGTTTGCGTCTATTTTATTTTATTCTGATTTTTAACATGGGACTAGAGAGGCAGGGGAAGTGGGGGAAGAAGAGCTTCTGGGGTCCCCAAGGGACAGCATGAGCTGTCATTTGAACCTTCTTCTCTGTATCCCACTCCTCATCACACACTGTCACCCATAGGCTCACAAAGAGATGACTCAACTGTTCCTCTTGGTGTCACCCCAGAGTCACACATAGGGGACCTATGGCAGAGTATCATGCACACACAGGGCCATAGCCTTCTTACTTTTGATCCTCACTGTCTGGACCAGGCCAGGAGTGACCTAGACTCATTCTGAACAGTATGGCACTTCTCATAAACACAAGGCTGTGACCATACTGTGACACACCATTCCACACACAACAGCCATAACAGTGTCAGTCACTTGACCTGCCAGACCTCCACCACACATCCTAGCTGCACCCAGGTACACACAGGCAGGTTTTCACACAAACTCAGCCTATTTCCCCAGATCCTATTTGTAGGGGGGTTTAAGTTATGCACTTATAAGGTGTTTTCTGTGTAACCATTTTATAAAGTGCTTGTGTAATTTATGTGAAAAAATAATAAAACCCTCCGGATCCGGAGTTAGGGATGCCTGCTCCTTGCCGACCCCAGCAGCTTGCAGCTACTTGGGTTTGGTGTGACTTGGTGCTGCTTGGGCAGCCACTGGTGCCTGAACTTGAGGAACATCTGGGGCCCAGGACCTGCAGGTTCTGGAGAGGGGAAGAAAGAAGGGGGACAAACAGAGAGAAGGCAGAGCTGAGGAAAGAAGGGAGAGAAAGGCTCTCCTGGAGTAGCTAGTGTTCAAGAGGATATAGTGTCTTTGAGTGTGAGAGTTGTCTGTGTGCATTGTGTTTGTAATGGCGTGGGCAATAAGAATATTACTGATTGTTTGGAACAGTATGCAGTTGTGTTTGCAATTACTGTGTGTGCTTACTTCTGCTTAAGTTGCAAATCGAAACTATCATTATACACTCAAATTTGGGGTGTGTGTGTAACCATGTGTAAATGGGGCTGTGCTTTGGGGGGGGTAATTGTGTGATTACCCACCCATATTTGTGATTGTGTATGAATTATGTGTTAATGTTTGTGAGAGTACATATTAGTTTCTACTTATGAATCTGTTTTTGTGTTAAATGTGTGAGTGTTTATGATTGTATATCATTTGTAACTGTGTAAATGTAACTGTGTGTGAGATGCAATCATGCGTGAGATGTGTATTTTATTGTATATACTTGTGTGTGATTGCTTGTATATATTTGGGGAAATTAATTAGTGGGGAGTGTGGGTCATTGTGGGTGACTGTCCCTGCTTTTGAGTGGGTATAATTGTGCACTGGTGGTGTACAAGATGGAGAGGGTCTAAGATAGGGTATGCAGATACATTGTGAGGGTACCAACATCTACTAGGAGTTCTGGAGTTCTGGGCCCTTACCCAGCAAGCACACTGAGTCCCTAAGGGGGCCTCTGTGGTGCTCTAACCCAGACTTCATAGCTACCAGCACTAGGCTGCCCTAAGATCTGAATAAGTAACTTTTCAAGGATCTTCAGAGAGGTCCCAAACCATTCTAGCCAGGATAGTAGCCACAGTGCACACTTTCCATAACATCTAGCCCCACCCCAACACACACTAGACCAACCTCAGGTGCATAAAATGGACTTGGGTTTGCTTTTGTGAAAGAAGCTAGATGGTGGAGGGTCTGGGGAACATACCCTCTGGAAGAGTAGAGTGGGGAGACAGGAGGCTCTTTCTTTGGGATGGAAGAGTGAGAACTTTGTGACTAGAAACTAGAAGTGAGTGTGTGTGAGGATGTTTGTGTGTGCAGAACTGTGTGCGGAGCTGGGGTTGGCGGAGCCACACGTGCCTTATGAAATGGGGACAAAGCACAACAACCTCCTACCCAAGGAAGTCCAAGGGGAAATTCATCTGTGTGGGAAATAGATAGTGCTCCTTCATCCCTCGTCCATGGCCCTCTTGGAGCTGGCTCTCTGTAAGAGAATTCTGGGTCTAAAAATTGTAGGTCAGCTTCCTGCTCCCACACCTCAGGCCCATGGGATGACCAATGCCAGGCCCTGGCAGACTTTGTTGGTGGTGGGGAGAAAGTTCTGGCCACAACGTGGGGTCTGCAGCGGGTGTTGGCCTGCAGTGGCTGCAGAGCCCAGTACCAGGCTGAGCGAAATCTGGAAATGGCCTCCTATAACGGTAGAATTCGTCCTCTTCTGCCTGGGCAGGTCTGGCTGTCTCCTCCCCTCTCACCAGTACTGGAGCTTCCCAGCCCCAACTCTTCGTTCGGGTGAAGTCTCCTCCATTTTCGGTCTTTAAGACACACCTCAGTGCCTCCCGGGTGCAGGATTCCAGAGTTCCGGGTCCTGGGGAAGACTGGGGCCTTCCTACCACCTACTAAGAAGCTGCTGCCCCCCTGGAGGCTCCTGGAGTTTTTCTGGCCTCAGACTATCCAGCTGAGAAGCTGAGGCCCGAATAGGGAGCGGCTGCCTGGCCCAAACACAAACCCTCCAACCGGGCTCTTCCCCACCACTCCTCTCTCCCTCTTGCAAGACAAAAGCAAGCAAAAATTAGGCATAAGGCACCTGCTACCCCCAATACCTCCTACCTTCCCGTCTTTACAAGTAGCTAGGGTTCACACTCCTGCCCCAGCCCAGGAATGCCAGCTCGGCCCGCTGCTCTCGGCTCCTGTCCAGTTTGTCCGGGATTCTCGGTAAAGTGGGCACCCGGCATGTCAGGATCCCGAGCGCTGCAGTCCCTCACCTCATTCCTGATGCGGGGCGCAGGCTGCCACCCCGCTGCCCCAACCAGCTACCCAGATCCCCAACTCCCTCCAACTCCCCCCTCCCCGTGCGCTGGTGGCCCTGGTCGCGCGCTCTCCCGGGGCCCCTCCCACGTGCACAGACCCTAGGGCGAGACGTCCCAGAAATACCAGACCCCCGGGGCACCGAGGCTCTTGGCGCTGAGGAGCCGCACAAGACTCCCCACCCTTCTCCCTGAATTCGTTGGGACCGAATCTCGGTGAATCCCGCTTCGGACGAGGGCCGATGCAGCCGGGAAAGGCCACGCTGGCGGCGGGGCCTGCAACCCCGTCCCTAATGCGGCGGAGGCAGGAGCGAAGGGGGCTTCGAGGGTCACCGGCAGGGCCAACTACCCGCAGCAGAGAAGCGCCTGCCGACAATGGTCGGTCTCTGTTCAAAAAGAGCAAAGGAATTATCGGAATACTTGCGTGTAGAGGTGCGGGGGAAGAAGAGAAATTAACGAACCAGCCTGGGCAGAAAGGCCTGCTTCCTTCCTTTCCTTGAGGGAGCCGACTGCACTTAGCAAATTTCAGGAAGAGTGAGCCCTGAGCACCCAGCGGGGTGGTTTAGTGGAGGCCCAGAAACCCATACAGGGCTGGGGTACTAGAAGCCAGTGCTGTGCCTCAGGTGACACACAGAGAATCTGGCTCAACCTGTTAACTATAATAGTGGCTTTGTGGGGCCGGATCTGTGCTTGGGGGCTGTGTGGGCATGGCCTGAGCACTGCCTTGTAATGTCCTCCCGGGGTGGCAGGTATGGTGTTTGCCCTATGCCCAGGACTCAAATGGTGTCCTGTTTGTGATGTGAGTGACTTGCAGGTGGGTGAAATAGGTTCCAGGTGTACGAGACAACTAAGCAGGGACCTGCCTCCTGGTTGAGCAGAGCTGGAGCAGCTAGGAATTAGAAGCCATGCTGTGGCCCCAGGGGTGTCCCAAGGGCCCCTCAGATTAGATGTGGGAGGAAACCCCCTTCCCATGCTCTGCTCCTTCTGCTCCCCTCACACCCACTTCTCACTCCCATGCAGCCCCCAGAGTCCTGCTCCTAAGCAGTAACACCCCATCCTCAGCGCTCCCTAATCAGCTCAGAGTTTGGAGCCCCACAGCCAGGCATTTGCCTGGGCAACTAACAAGAGCTGCCTGGGCTCCCCCCTTCCCCCATGGCACTAATCCGCTGCCCAATATGGAGGCCTCTGGCACCACTCACCTGCACCCAAGCCTGGATTCTTTACCCCAGGGAGTCCGATAGGAACAGACTGAGCAAGGAGGAGAGCTGGAGCCAGTGCAGATTTCCAAGGAGCTCAGGGCAGACTCAGAAGATGGTGTGTTCGATGGATGGGGGAACGGGGATGGGTGGAGGGAGTGTTGGGTATCCTTGTTGTGTTGAGGAATGGGTACAAACTCACATCCCCTCATTCACAGCCTGCATGTGTACAACCTCACATACCTCCTGCTGTGCATGGGGTGTGCCCTGTTACTCAAGGGGAGCTACAGGTGTGCGGGGCTAGGTACACACACGCACACAGTCTCCACTGCTGTCATTCTCAGCTACTCTCACAAGCTTACCCCCGCAGGGCCCCACCAAGCTCCTGTGCAGGGCTGTCCCACAGCCACCCGGCCACCGGCACCCCTCCTCCGCTTTCTCTCCCCTCCTACCTTAGCCCGGAGAGAGGAGGGTCGAACGCGACTGCCGGTAGGCCTGGGGGTGGGAACTTAGCCCGGAGAGAGGAGGGTCGAACGCGACTGCCGGTAGGCCTGGGGGTGGGAATTTTCTGCGCATTAAATTCCAGCCCTGCCGCTTAGCGGCCACACACCCCATAGGGTTGAGTCTGGGTTTGGGGGCCATGGCCCGCCCTGGATTCTGGCCAGGGACCCTAACAAGGCCTAGAGGTACAGTGGCCGCCGCTGCCTCCTCA